AATGGCAAGTTGAAGGGACAGGTCAGGCTGGAACAGGACAGAGAGCAAGGAATGCCTGGAATGTTGGATTAAATTGCATCGATTTCAACATAAGAGGGCTGATAGGTAATGTCGATGAACTCAAGGTGTGGATAGGTACGTGGGACTGGGATATTATAACCATTACAGAAACGTGGCTAAAGGAGGGACAGGACTGGCAGCTTAATGTGCCAGGGTACGGGTGCTTTAGTTGGGACAGAGGTGGAGGAAAGACAGGAGGAGGCGTTGCATTTTTGATAAGGGGGAGTATCACAGCATCAGTCAGAACTGAAATAACTGAAGGATCATCCGGTGAGGCTTTGTCCGTGGAGCTAAGGAATAAGAAGGGGATGGTGACGTTATTGGAGTTGTTCTATAGGCCCCCCAAATAGTCAACAGGCATTAGAGGAACAAATATGCAGGGAGACTTGCAGGAGAAATAGGGTTGTCATAGTAGGGATTTTAATTTTCCTAACTAAGACTGGGACTGCCATTGTGTTACTGGCATGAATGGGGTGGAATTTGTTAAGTGTGTTCAGGAAAGTTTCGTCAAGCAGTACATAGAGGGTCCAGCTTGGAAAGGAGCAAAACTCGACCTATTCTTGTGAAATAGGGCAGGACAGGTGACAGTGGGGGAGCACTTGGGACCAGTGACCATAATTCTATTAATTTTAAAATAGGTATGGAGAGGGACAAAACTGGTCCACAGGTTCAAGTTCTAAACTGAGGCAAGGCAAACTTTGATGGAATTAGATAGGAGCTTGCAGGGGTTGGTTGGACTAGTTTATTTGCAGGTAAAGGGACCTCTGACAAGTGGGAGGCCTTTAAAAGTGTGATAGCTAGAGTTCAAGGTCTATATGTTCCTGTGAGGGTGAAGGGCAAGGTTGCAGGAGCAGGGAACCCTGAATGACAAGAGATATTGAGGCGTTGACCAGAAAAAAGAAGGAGGCATGGCTCAGGTAAGGCAGCTGGGATCAAGGGAATCCCTGGAGATATATAGGGGATACAGGAGTTTACTGAAGAAGGAAATCAGGAGGGAGAAAAGGGGGCAAGAATTAGCTTTGGCTGAGAAGATTGGGGTGAATCCAAAGATATTCTTTAAGTATATTAAAGGAAAAAGAATAACTAGAGAGAGAATAGGACCCCTCAAGGACCAAAGTGGACATGTACGTGTGGAATCGCAGGAGATGGGTGAGGTCCTCAAAGAATATTTCTCCTCTGTGTTTACCGTGGAGAAAGACATGAAGACTTGGGAACTTGGGGAAATTAGTGGCACTGTCTTGGGCACAGTCCATAACACTGTAGAGGTGGTGTTGGAAGTATTAGAATGTATGAAGGTGGATAAACCTCCTGGCCCTGACCAGACATATCCAAGAACCCTGCAAGAGGCTAGAGAAGAAATTGCGGGGCCCCTGGCTGATATATTTGCATCATCGTTAGCCACGGGTGAGGACCCGGAAGACTGGAGGGTAGCAAATGTTGTGCCCTTATTCAGGAAGGGCTGCAAAGAAAAACCTGGGAATTATAGACCAATAAGCCTAACATATGTGGTAGGTAAGTTATTTGAGAAGATTCTGAGGGATAAGATATACATTCATTTGGAAAGACAGGGTTTGATTAGGAGTAGTCAGCATGGCTTCGTATATGGGAGATCATGCCTCACAAATTTGTTAGGGTTCTTTGATGAAATGACCAGGAAGGTTGATAAGGGCAGGGCAGTAGACGCAGTCAATATGGATTTCAGTAAGGCCTTTGATAAGATTCCACATGGCAGTCTGCTCTGGAAGGTTAGATCACATGGACTCCAGGGAGAGCTGGCAAATTGGATACACAATTGGCTTGATGGTAGGAAGCAGAGGGTAATAGTGGAGGGATGCTTGTCGGACTGGAGGCCTGTGACTAGTGGTGTGTCTCAGGGGTCGATGCTGGGCCCATTGCCATTTGTTATCTCTATCAATGATTTGGATGAGAACGTACAAGGCATGATTAGTAAGTTTGCGGATGATACTAAAATAGGCAGTATCATGGAAAGTGAGGAAGGTTATCAGAAATTGTAGCAGGATCTTGATCAGCTGAGGAAGTGGGCTGAGAAATGGAAAATGAAGTTTATTATAGATAAGTGTGAGGTGTTGCGTTTTGGAAAGTTAAATCAAGGCAGGAGTTCCATGGTGAATAGTAGGGCCTTAAGTAATGTAGTGGAAGAGAGGGACCTTGGAATTCAGGTGCGTAGTTCTCTGAAAATGGAGTCACAGGTAGACAGGGCAGTGAAGAACTCTTTTGGCACACTGGCTTTCATCAGTCAGGGCTCTGAGTACAGAAGTTGGGAAGTTATGTTGTGGTTGTACAGGACATTGGTGAGGCTGTGCTTGGAGCATTGTGCTCAGTTTTGGTCACCTTGCTATAGGAAGGAGTTATTACACTGGAAAGAGTGCAGAAGACATTTACAAGAATGTTACCAGGACTCAAGGGACTGAGTTATAGGGAGAGGTTGGACAAGCTAGAACTTTAGAGCTTGGGAGACATGGGAGGATCTTAGAGAAGTGTATAAGATCATGGGAAGCATGGATAAGGTGAATGCACTCCGTCTTTTTCCCAGGGTTGGGGAATTGAGGACTAAAGGACATCAGTTTAAGGTAATAGGGGAAAGAATACATGGGAACCTGAGGGGCTACTTTTTTTTACACAGAGGGTGGTACGCATATGGAATGAGCTGCCAGCGGAAATGATTGAGGCAGGTACACGAACAACTTTTATAAGCCATTTGGGCAAATACATGGATAGGAAAAGTTTAGAAGAATATGGGCCAAGTGCACGGAAATGGGGTTAGCGTTTGTGGACATTTTGGTCAGCACAGACTAGTTTGCATGTCTCTGTGCATTAGATTCTATGACTGTAAGAGATCTCTCCTCATCACTGTCTTAAACGTGTGACCGCAGATTCTGAAATTATGCCCTCTGGTCCTAGACAGTCCCACAGGGGAAATAAGCTCTCCACAATAGCCCAACCAAATCAATCTCTCCTAGGACAGTCCCTCCATACCTGGTATCAGGCTAGTGAATCTTCTCTGGAATGTCTCCAATGCCCGTGTTTTCTTAGGTCAGAAATCATACAACAGGTTATAGTCCAGCAGGTTCTACTATAACCTGGTGTTGTGAGATTTTGGACCTTGTCCACCCCACTCCAATGTAGGCACCTCTACATCAGTGTTTTTTTTAAGATAAGGGGCCCAAAGCTGTTTACAGTATTCCAGCTGTGATCGACTAAATCCTTGTATAGTTTTAGCAAAACCTCCCTCCCTTTATACTCCATTACCTTTGAAATAAAGCCTGTCATTCCATTTGCCTTCCCTGTTACCTGCTGAACTTGGATGCCAGGTTTTTGCGATTTATGCCAGAGGAATCCCAAATCCCTATTCTGATGCTTTTTGTAGTCTTTTCCCATTTAAATAATATTCAGATCCTTTACTCTTCCTGCCAAAATGTGTAAACTCTCATTTTCCCAAATTAGATTCCACCTGTCAAGTCTGTGCCCACTTGCTTATTGAGGCAATTGGATTTTGAAAAAGGATTACGGGAGATGGTCTTGTCAAACTGTCTTCTGTTACTAGTGCAAACATTGTGTGTTTCTATGAGATACAATTAGATCAGACTGTGCTTAATTATGTTGGATTAATGCTTTTTTGAGGTCAGTGGTGCAAAGACTGAAAGCATTTGATTTACATTCCTTCTGTCAGTCTTTCCCTGACTTTAAGTAGTGTTTGTGCTTCACTGCTGCCTTGGACTCAGGTTCTTTGCAATGTTTTAACTGTGCTCAAAGGAATGTAATTAACCATAAGTGGTTTCATCCCCACTTCAAGTTTTCTCCTTAAGTATAAGCTTGGACTTCGTAGTTCAATGGCCTAATGGTATTACCGCTGGACTGTTAATCCAGAGACCCGGGTAACGTTCTGGGGACCTGGGTTCAAATCCTGCCACGGCAGATGGTGGAATTTGAATTCAATAAAATACCTGGTATTAAGAATCTAGCGATGACCATGAACCATTGTCGATTGTCATGAAAGACCCACCTGGTTCACAAATGTCTTTTAGTGAAGGAAACTGCCATCCTTGCCTGGCCTGGCATACATGTGATTCTAGACCCACAGCAATGTGGTTGAATCTTAACTGCCCTCTGGGCAATTAGGGATGGACAATAAATGCTCTGTGGTCAGCGATGCCCTCATCCCATGAATAAATAAAGAAAATCTATACTTTGTAGTTCAATCCCTTCTTCAGGGTTTGAATACATAAGATATAGCCATAGAGTCAAACAGCATGGAAACAGACCATTTGGTCTAATTCGTCCATGCCGATCAGGTTTCCCAAACTAAAGCAGTCCCGCTACATTTGACCCATAACCCTCTAAATATTTCCTTTCTACATACCTGTTCAGATGTTTTTTAAATGTTGCAACTGTACCGGCATCTACCACTTTCGTACAATAATTACTAAAATCCCCTGCAAAAACCAGTTCTGAAAATCTGCTTTCCTGTTTTTGCCACCAAAGTGGATAACCCATACACTATACTGAGTTGGAACTGTGTTACTGTTTCTTCACTTTTGCTGGTTCAAAATTCTGATCCCACCTAGCGAGCTAGCAGCACTGAGTGTCCTTACATTGTATGGACTTCAAAGGTTCAAGAAGGCAACACACCTTCTCTAGGGCAGTTAGGGGGTGACGTATCCTGGTCCGGCCAGTGACGCTCCCAATGCTGGACCAAACAACAAAAAAAATTGCATTGTTTTCTCTTCAATGCTGCAGATTCATTGTTAGGAGGATGTAATGATTGATATTATGAATGCTGATTAATGTAAAATAACTGTTTGTGTTGTATGATAGCACTGGTTATTCACTCTGACATTATGCAATGTTAAAAGGAATGGAGATAAATGGCTCCTTTCCAGATGACTGTTGTTGAAACCTGTTTTCTGGTATCCTTGCAGCTCGATGTGGTCCCATGTAGAAATGGGCCCCCCCGACCCCATCCTTGGGGTCACTGAAGCTTTCAAACGTGACAACAACCCCAAGAAAATGAACCTGGGCGTTGGGGCGTACCGTGATGACAATGGCAAGCCATACGTCTTGAATTCTGTCAGGAAGGTGAGTTGGATGTGGCATTCCTGCTTTTTGTTGGCTGTCTGGCAGTGGGAAAATCAAAATTTTGCACAGACTCTCCAGGAATGATTGTAGAACTGATACATGGTCTGGTTTTTGACCTTCTCACAGGCCGAGGCCCAAATTGCAACCAAGAAAATGGACAAAGAATACCTCCCCATTGCTGGTCTGCCAGAATTCAACAAGGCCTGTGCAGAGCTGGCGCTAGGAGCCAACAGTGAAGTGATCAAAAGCGGAAGGGTAAGGAACTGCCTTTGCTGGTGAGTGGGGCCAAGGGATGAGGATCAAGGCAAGTGGCAGCATTTCCAGAGCTCTGCTGTAAATAAGTGGTGCAGTTAAGGAAGGTTTTGAGATTGATAAATGGACTGATAAATCCATTAGATGGGGAAATGTGAGCATTATACACCACAGATTGATGTCCTTTACCAACATGGAGATGTTTGGGTGTGGCTTGGTGCCAATCCAGGTGCTGAGATAACAGTCAGGACCAATGCTCCCTTGGGAGTGTGTGCACGCTTGACCGCAAAGCATTTTGAAAAGTTGCCCACGTTGGAATAAGCGAGCACTGACTGCAGTGAGCTTCAGGGGTTGTGGAGCAGGAGAGGGCACAGGAAAGAAATCAGCTGGACTAGAGGCGAAGTGAACACCAGAGAGAGAAAATCTGATTGGAAGAGCAGCGGAAGAGAGTGAATCTGAGATTGGGGTGGTGCAGTGGTAGATTCCCAGCTACTGAGCCAGAGGATCCAGAGAGGGAGAACAATGGGCACAAGGAGGACTTGCAGAGCAAAGAGGAGAGGGGGAGTGGGAGGGCAAAGCAGTTGCGCGAACAGAGAGGGCACAAGGGTGTGTGATGATGGCAGAGGGAAAAAGGGAGGGGGTGACAGAATGTGCAACTCGTTGGCCGAGAAATGGATTGGACCAAATGAGAGGTGGAGGTGGAAAGTGATCCGCAAGCAAAGAGAGGAGAGCAGTGCTCCACCATTGGTGCACATGAACAGCACAGCAGCAATGTGGAATGTTCAGCATGTTAATAAATAAACCATTCTCCACTTTGTAGAAGTTCAGGGAGCTTTAAAGCGTTAGCTGCCCTTGGCTACAAAAGTAATTCTTGGAACGGTTTACCCAGTTCAAAAAAAACTTAGGACGTCAGGACAGTGTTATTCTCACCTTGTTGAGACGGCTGTGGTGGTTATATTTATGTACGATTTTGGACATCTTTGCTTCAGAATGTTGGGTAGGTCACAGGACTTGAGAAAGAGCTGACCTGACCTGTTTTGAGACAATTGAAGGAAGGAAAGAATGTACATGCAGTCAGCTTTATTTGGCCAACTGCAAACAAAACCAGAAGGCACAAATTCAAAGTTGCCAGCTGGTGAGCTGGATGAGAATTTTTCTGTGGATCTGCAAATACGTGAAAAGGTCATTCATTACATGGTTCATGCAGGATCACTTAGCACTGACGTGAAAGCTGATGCGTAGCTGGATTGGAAACGGATCGCAGGTTTAAGGCTTGGGGCAGCTCAGTTGTGAATGAGTACTGTTAGCAACATGATACCCAAGCTACTGAAAGCTCAGTGATGTCATTGCAAGGTCAGTGTTGTAGTCTGCATGCAGAAGAATCTCTTTGGAAATGAAAATAGGCTGCGTCATTTGTCATACACAGGACTTTTCGTTGCCTGCAGGAAGCAGCAATCTAATGTGGCAAGAACCATTTCCCCACTCTGTGCCTGTTTGTGACTCTGAGTCTGGAGCTGGTAACTGTGTCCTAATAGTTTTCTGAGCACACTGACCCCATGCCGTTAGAGACACAGATAATTTACAGCTGAGGAACAAGATGTTCAGCTTTCTGCCTGTCATAACAAGTGCTACAAAACCTTCATGTTCTGGGTCCATGACAATTCCACTTATTTTGTTTATTTTTATTTACTCACGGGATGTGAGCGTTCCTGACTGGCCAGCAGTTATTGCCAAGCCCTAATTGCCCAGAGGACAGTCGACCACATTGCTGTGGATCTGGAGTCACATGTAGGCCAGACCAGGTGATGCTGGCAGGTTTTCTTCCCTAAAGGACATCAGTGAACCAGATAGGTTTGTCTGACAATCCCCAGTGGATTTATGGTCATCATCAGACTCTTAATTCCTGATTTTTATTGATTTCAAATTGCACCATCTGCTGTGGCAGGGTTTCAACCCAGGTCCCCAGAGCATTATCCAAGTTTCTGGGTTAATAGTCTAGCGATAGTACCTCTCGGCCATTGCCTCCCCTAATGCAGTGAAGGTTCCTGCCTCTATCAACTTTTCAGACAGACTCCTCCACTGTCCGTGTGGCAATAATGTCTCTTCAGCTCCCCTCTAATCCTTCCACCGATTAGTTGAAATCTCTACCCCAGCCCACACTGAGTTGTTAACCTCTGTACTGATTGAGCCATTATACTGTAGCATGTGTCTTCACTTTATTCCCCAGTGATCATGTATAAAATGAACGGAAGAACTTGCTTTCGTTAAGCTTCTTATTACATTCAGTGTTCCGAAGAACTGCATGCCAGTTAACTACTTTTGAAGAGATATAGGTTTTTACATGAATGTTTCCAGGGACGAGACATTCCGATTTTGAGGAAAGATTAGAGACGTTGGGACTGTTTTTCTTGGTGGGGGAGAAGGCTAAGAGGAGCTTTTATAGAAAGTTTCAAAACCATGAAAGATCTGTATGGAGTAGAGGGGGATAAACTGTTTCCACAAGTCAAAGGACCAAGTGCCAGAGGACTCAGCTTTAAAGTGTTTTGCAAAGGAAGAAAATGAGATGAGAAAAAGCCTTTTCCCACAAATGGTTCAGGACTGGAATGCAGTGCTTGGAAGTGTAATGGAGGCAGAGTCAATTGAGGCATTCAAAAAGAAGTGTTGAATAATTCATTAGACACAAGCAATGTGCAGGAAAAGGCAGGAGACTGACACTAAGTCAAAATGCTTAATGCAGACAAAATGGGCTGAGTGGCCTCTTTCCGAACTGTAACAGTTCTGTCACTGCGATGCTGGTCTGTCATCTCATCTGTGCACGATGAGATCCCACAAACAGAAAATTGAGAGTTTGACTTTTTCGGTGATGGCTGAGGACTTGGGCCTCCTCACCTCCGGCACTGCAATACCTCCTCGCAGTATTGTGACACATAAACAAAATGCAAACAGCTTAAAGGTGCTGATGCAGCCAGTTAATGCAGCTTGTATTGATTCAACTAACCTGGGGAGAAAGATCAGAAGGCCATACATGGTAGAAGGACAACATGAATGCCAACGTGATAAAGGAGAGAATGGGAAAATATTGGGGAACTAGATGGTTTTTGAGGAATGCATTAAAAGCAGGGAAAGAAATGTTTAAGAAGCTACATCCACTAATGACGGCGAGAAAGGGAATTTGCAGCACAGAAGGTAAGAGTCATCAAAATGGAGATTAGTGGCAGCATTTGGGGGAGGTGCAGAGGAGGAGGAATATAACACATTGAGCATAAACATTGTGAAAATGCTGCAACATTTCTGTCCACTTAACACTGATCAACATCTCCAGTTAAGCGTAGGTTGGGTCGGAAGCAGAGTTAAAAACACCTTTCAGTTCCAAAAAGTCATTGGCTTGAAACATTTCTGCCTCAACAGATATGACCTGACCTGTGGTCTTCTCCAGCATTTTCTTAATTTAGCTTTCTTTAAAAAAAAAACTGCAGTGCTCTGCTCCAGAAATAGGCCGTTAACTCAAAAGTGTAGTTCCTAATGAAAATTTAATATTTCTGTTGCACAGGCGGTTAAGTTATAACTTGTAAGGTTCAGTTAGAACTTATCACCAAGGTTAGAGGCTGGTGTGATCACAGGCTGGAAAATCTAATGCCTTGGGGTGCATTGTATCATTTCTTTGGTTCTGCCATTCGTTTAAATGTGGATTACGTCCCCCGCAGTAGCCTTTCCCTTTCATTTTTATTGTGATGGGAAGTGTTTACTTAGAGCATGGCAGCATTTATTAAGATTCATTCTCAATTACTTCCAATCTAAGGATAACAATTACTGGCATTTATGTAGTGCCTTCAGTGTAGGCAAAAATCTCGAGGCACTTTTGGGAATGGGGCTTACTGAAGAAAGATGGATGCCAAGCCAAAGGAGGTATTTTTGAGAGGTGAAGAGAAATCTGTTTCCAGGCTTCTTGAAAGCAAAGTTTGAAGACGAGGGATTTATGGAGGGTAGCCCAAAACATAAGGCTGCAAGCAAATGAAATCATGGCTACCACTGGTGGGTTGAGTAATGAGAAGGAGAGAGGTACAAGAGGCTCGGGTCTAGGGAGTGGAGAGTTTAGAGTGACAATCATATTTGAGGAGGTCAGTGATGGACAGCAAGCGAGGCTGCACAGGGATTTAAATAAAACGGGAAGCATTTTAAATTTGAGTAGTTGGTATTTGAATCTGCCTGTCATCAAGGTGCCTGATTGGCATCCTATTCAGCACTGACAACATTGACCAGTGTTCAACGTGTGCCATCTGCAAGATGCAACGCAGCAACTCACCAAGCCTCCTCTCACAGCATCTTCCCAACCTGTGACCCCTGTCACCTAGAAGGGCAAGTGCAACAGATACAGGAGAACTACTACCTACAGGTTCTCCTCCAAGCTACTCACCTAAAGGAAGGATGTGGAGGCTTTGGAGAGAGTGCAGAAGAGGTTTACCAGGAGGCTGCCTGGTTTAGAGGGTATACACTACAAGGAAAAGCTAGATAAACTCGGGTTGTTTTCTCTGGAGCGGCGGAGGCTAGGGGGACAGTTGGTAGAAGTCTATAAAATCATGAGATGCATAGATAGGGTTGACGGTCAGGATCTTTTCCCCAGAGTTGATATGTCTAATACTAGGGGGTGTGGACTAAAGGTGAGAGGGGGAGAAGTTCAAAGAAGATTTGATGAGAAAGTTTTTTATGCAGAGAGTGGTAGGAGTCTGGTACACGTTGCCAGGGGTGACAGTGGAGGCAGATACAATCAGGGCATTTAAGGAACTTAAGTACATAAATATGCAAGGAATGGAGGGACACGAACCAGGAATAGTCAGAAGGGGTTGGTTTAATTTGGTGTCATGTTCGGCACAACACTGTGGGCCGAAGGGACCTCTCTTGTGCTGTACTGTTCTATGTTCTGCTTCATTGTAATCTCGCTGCTGTAGTTTTGACCATTCAGTGCTAAATGTGACAGTAGCTTCTCCCAACCGGTGGGTTTCTCATGCACCCTGTGTGTTAGCAAAGCATTCAGAATAACAATCAGAAATTAAAGTTCTGTTGTGATTCTTTTTCATTTCAGTATATCACTGTGCAGTCCATCTCTGGAACTGGATCACTGCGGATTGGTGCTAGCTTTCTGGTGAGTGGTGCAGTGTCTACTGGAATGTATTACAGATTGCTGCTTTACTGTTAACTCCTCTGAACGTGCCTTTCTCATTTCTCCTACAATGCAAATACAGTGTGCTACAGCCTCATTCTGTTAGCATCAAGGTTAGTTCCATTGTTTCTTAGCAAATACATGTTTCTCCAGGACCTCAACTGTGGCAATCCTTGCCTCCATTTCACTTTCCTTCTTTCTAGAAGTCTTCAGACTTCTAAAACTCAACCTGTCTTGACTGTGTCCTAACAGACTCTATTATCTGTCATTCCCTTTGAATATCATACCCTGTGAGCCTTGATCCTTCAACTTTGGTTTCTGTAGAAGATGCAGGGTTTCAAACCTTTCCTATAAAAGTGTGTGCTTTCTAGAAGCATCTGCCCCTTGACCCTCCTCCCCATACTGAAAAGTGGAGACGTAATCCAAGAGTTGGCAAATCTATAGGTTGGGAGGGCGAGTAAGAACAGTAAATCTTGTAGATACAAGAAAGGCATTCACTTGGCATTATCTGAAGTCCCCTGTTTTGGACTGGTTTAATTGAAAATTCTGAAGTGAAATAACAATCAAAAGCCTTTTTACTCAAAGGAATTGATACATCTGATTATCTCAACTGTTTCAAAATCAGAAAGGCACGTGTTTGTTGTGCAACACAAGACTGACATCTGATTTGATCACTGCCTGAACTAACGGCAACATTACCCTGGTGTTTTGGTGATGCGAACAAGCCATGGAAAATGTAGTAGTAACTCATTGTGCTCTTCAGTAAGATTTTATTTTAGTATTTAATTCTGAAGAACGTTAGAAATTTGGCACCTCCAACCTGCACATGGTGATCTGATTGTGACCATAACTCCACTTTCCTATTTATCCTCCCAAGATCCTTGACACCTTGTCAATCAAGAATCTGTTCGAATACAATCCCAAGTATATTCAGTCTTCTAGGCTTCATTACTGTCTGTGGAAAAGAATTATAAAGTTTAACGACCCTATGAGCAAGTGAAACATCCTCATCTCTGTCCTAAATGGGAGACTCATTCTAGATTCCCCCATGATAGGAAACAGCAGCTCTGCATTTATATTGTGTAATGTGACAGGATAAATTCAGCGTCTCAGAATAAAGGTGCCCCCAGGCAGCCCCAACTACAATTTGATTGAATTTACATCTGGTTTGAAAGGAAGAGTGAGTCTAAGACTAATGTTTTCAACTTATATTATTTTAAAATGTGGAATCTGCATGTTGCTGGCTGGGCCAGCATTTATTGCCCATCCCTAGTTGCCGTTGAGAAGGTGGTGGTGAGCTACCGCCTTGAGCCACTGCAATCCATGTGTTGTAGGTAGACCCACAATGCCATTAGTTAGAGAGTTCCAAGATTTTTACCCGGCGACATTGAAGGAACCGCGATATATTTTCAAGTCAGGATGGTGAGTGGCTTGGAGGTGAACTTGCAGAGCGTGGTGTTCCCATGTATCTGCTACCCCTTGTCCTTGCAGATGGAAGTGGTTGTGGGTTAGGAAGATGCTGTCTAAGGATCTTGGGTGAATTTCTGCAGTGCATCTTGTAGATAGTACACACTGCTGCTTCTGAGCGTCAACGGTGCAAGGAGTGAATGCTTGTGCCAGTCAAGTGGGCTGCTTTGTCCTGGATGCTGTCAAGCTTCTTGGGTGTTGCTGGAGCTACACCCATCCCAGGCATGTGTTTCACCACACTCCTGACTTATGCCTTGTTGATGGTGGACAGGCTTTGGGGAGTAAAGAGGGGTGAGTTACTCGCCACAGTATTCTTAAGCTCTGAGCTGTTCTTCTAGCCACTGTGTTTGTTTGGTGAGTCCAGTTGAGTTTCTGGTCAATGATAACCCCCTGGACATTGATAGTGGGGGATTCAGTGGTAGTAACACGTCGAATGTCAAGAGGTGGTGGTTCGGTTATCTCTTATTGGTGATGGTCATATCTCAGCATTTGTGTGGCACAAATGTTACTTGCCACTTGTCAGCCCAGGCCTGGATATTGTCCAGATCTTGTTGCATTTGGACATTAACTGCTTCAGTATCTGAGGAGCCATGAACGGTGCTGAGCATTGTGGAATCATCAGTGAACATCCCCACTTCTGACTCTATGATGGAGGGAAGGTCATTGATGAAGCAGGTGAAGATGGTTGGGCCAAGGGCACTACCCTGAGGAACTCCTGCAGAGATATGCTGGAGCTGAGATGACTGACCTGCAACAACCACAACCATCTTCCTATGTATCAGGTATGTCTCTAACTATCGGAGAGTTTGCCCCCGATACCCATTGATTCTAGCTTTGCTAGAGCTCCTTGATGCCACACTTGGTTGAATGCAACATTGATATCGAGGGCTGTCACTCTCATGTCACCTCTGGAGCTCTGGTAGGAAGGGTAGGGTGGTGGGGTGGCTTTGTTAGTATGACATGGAATAAGTACATAACCAAGAAATGGTCTTGGAAAGGATGTTTTTAAAAGGGTTTTATAACATTTTTGTACAACGATTTTAATTGAAGCTTGAAAAATAGGAAGGCAGATAGGTGATTATTTGAATGGCTGTAAACTGAGAGAGGGGACTTCTCCATTAGACCCGGGTGTCTGTGTGTGCCAGTCACTGAAAGGAAGCATGCAAGTGCAGCAGGGGTACGCATCTTGACAAACCCCCCCCCCCCCCCGGCATCTTATGTGCAATCAGATCACCTCTTATCCAACGAGAATAGGCCCAATCAGCGCAACCTTTCCTCATAAAACAAACCCCTTCATCCCAAGAATCATCCTAATAACCTTTACTAGAACTTTACCAGGATGCTCCTCCTTCAGTAAGGGAACCACTCCTAATTTGATACCTGTTCTACAAAGTATTGAGAGAGGTGAGCAGCAGGTAGCCATGATGTACAAGGCACTAAAGCAGAAGGACATGTTTGGTGAGCTGGGTGGCATGATGGTGGGGTGTACAACAGGAGGCTACTGTAATAACAACCCAACTGTAACACACAGCACTGGTGCTCTTTCCTGCTTTGCAGCAACGGTTCTACAAGAACAGCCGAGAGATCTATCTGCCCAAACCATCCTGGGGCAACCACACACCTGTCTTCAGGGATGCTGGCATGGAAGTCAAAAGTTACCGCTATTTTGATCCAAAGAACTGTGGCTTTGATGTTGCTGGGGCACTAGAGGATATATCGGTGAGTGTACTGTTTCATCAGTTTCTTGGCTTTAAGACTGATGAGTTTCAGTATATTTTTGTATTTTTTCAATGACGCTACATTGATGGTCATACTTACTGCAAATTGCGAAAAGCATGAACAGTGCAGTCCAATGTGGTTGATTTAAAACTGCATTTACATGTTGATGACATCTGTCTGTAACTCATTCATTTTGAATTGCTTGTAATCAGGATTACTTAGGTCACTGTTCAAGGGTTTTTGTTAACTCAAGTGGGGAGATTGTAACATTTAATCACTGATCTTTTTGGAGTAGAAGCAAATCACTCTGGCTCATTAGTGTTTTGGAGCGTTTATATCTCATTTCATTACCTCACACTGCACTCCCATCACCATGAGTTCAGTCTAACTGTAAACTCCAAACGCATCCTTGAACTCTCAGAAAATATTTGACTATAATGTTGGATGTTTTTCAAATGTTTAGTTTAGAGAACAAGGATAGATCATTGCAGTTATCTAACTGCACTGATCCTGTCCAACATTTGTTGTGACCCAGGACACTTTGGGGCCTCAGAGCCCCAGAAAGGAGAAAATGAACTCCTGAGGGGTCACCATAGGTTCTGAATGATATTGTGTAGTATCCCGTTGGTCCATAACTAGTCCTTGTCAGCCTGGTAAAGAGGAGGAATGAGCTATGGTTGCAACATTACATTAAGCCGTAGCGTTTATATCCGATTAAGTATTTCTGATGAGTAGATTATTTTGTGTGCAAGCAAAACAACTAAATGTCAACATATAACCATCACACAAACACCAAGTTAGACCAATATTTTGAATCAAGAGATGCACAGACCTGTTTGTTTTGTTATTGGATTAATAGCTGAGGTGCACAGATTGTTTTACCCTAGTTCTGGTCTGAGCAACAATTAGTAGACTTTAAATTCTGTCCTCTCAGTTCCTAGCAACAGACCAAAGAAAGACTTCCTATTAATGATGTAAATTTAGCAGATTCCAAATCAAAGCACAGATATGTTGCAAGCTGCTGAATGGTGATCTGTGAATTCAGGACTGCGCAGGGATTATTTTGGGAACCATGAGAAAAAAAATCACCAACTTGTATAATCAGGGGCTTTGAATGTTTGTCCCTTAAAAATATGAATATATTTGAGTATATTTAGGCCTTTCCCATGTATGTTTCCTGTGTCTCTTGCAGAAAGTTCCAGAACAAGCTGTCATCCTGTTTCACGCCTGTGCACACAACCCAACTGGAGTAGACCCGAAGACTGAACAATGGAAGGAGCTGGCAGCAGTCGTCAAGGTGAGAGGTGGGCTCTGGCATGTTTCACAAGTGTTGGATTTTTCTGCAAAATGTTCTTTCCCACATCCGTCTCAATGGAGATCGTGGGAATGTGTCTGAACCCCTTTGCAAGCTCTTTTTTGTTTGTGTTAAAATCCACCACATTATATCTAATTAATACAGTAATCCACCATCTAAAGTAGACATTTTGTTTTAATTATGTTATTAAAATAGTGCCAGTATATTCATTTAATGTTAATAGTTTAGAAATCATAGAATCCCTACAGTGTGGAAACAGGCCATTCTGCCCAACAAGTCCACACCGATCCTCAGAGCATCCCACCCAGACCCGTCCACCTACAACCCACCTAATCTATACGTCCCTGAGCACTATGGGAAATTTAGTATGACCAATCCACCTGGCCTGCACATCTTATGCCGTTTGCTAGACTACCTGTGTGGCCTGCTTGCTCCGAAGAACTTCTTGCCATGCTTTCTGTCCAACACTCAGTCCTCCTGACCTTCCTGCAGTTTCTGTCCCTGCCCTCGCAGTCCCTACTCCTTACAAAACTCCAGCCCCATTCCCAAACTCTGTTCTTGGCTTTAAAATCTCCAGTGTCTGCCATTCTGAACTCGCACTGAAGCTCCTGGGCTCCACCTAGTAGCAGAAGTTGGTAAGTGCAAGTGGCAACTCACCAACCTCTGCCAATAGATGGAGCTTAGTCAATTAAAACTTCAAGTGAGTTTAATTTTAACATTTATGTTGTTCTTCTACATTGTTTACATTTATTTTATTTTAAAGCTTATTTATTTATAAATGTAGGCATTTGGGAATATATTCCCTTTCAACATAATTAATGCCCAATCTATAGAGTGTGGAAACAGGCCGTTTGGTCCACACTGATCCTCTGAATAGCATCCCATCCAGAGCTACCCTGCCACCCTATTTCTGTAACCCTACATTTCCCCATGGCTAACCCACCTAGCCTGCACATCCCTGGGCACTATGGGCAATTTAGCATGGCCAATCCACCTAAGTTGCACATCTTTGGATTGTGGGAGGAAACTGAACCACCTGGAGGAAACCCACACAGACACGGGGAGAACATGCAAACTCCAAACGCAGATGCCCGAGGGTAGAAACGAATCTGGGTCCTTGGGTCTGTGAGGCAGCAGTATTAACCACTGAGCCACCGTGCCACCCCTGTTATGTTTCAGTGTTGTTTTCTGCTGAGAACACTCGTGAAGTACCTAACTGTACAGTATCTCTTTCGTACTGATTGATTTATTTTGCTGTAATAAACAAGGTACAGTAATTGACATGGTGTTACCATATTGCTGTTTAAATAAAATGCCATCAAACCAATTGGGACATGGAGCTGAGAGTTTCTTTCTTCTTGCTGTCTAGAAAAGAAATCTTTTGCCATTCTTCGACATGGCTTACCAGGGTTTTGCAAGTGGAGATGCTGACAGAGATGCCTGGGCTGTGCGCTATTTCCTTGAGCAGGGCATTAACATTGTTCTATCACAGTCCTATGCCAAGAACATGGGGCTGTATGGTAAGTAAATATCCCTGGGTTCCTGTCAGTTTGTTTATGCAGTTGTGGTTTAGGATTGATCAGCTCCAAATGTGAATGAACTCCAACTTGCAAATTAATTGTCCAGCTGCTTTCCTTTTAGATTAATTCATCTCCACTTGCCGCCCTATGCAAAATCTCCAGTGTTCCTATTGGAGATGCGAGTTGACAACTCTGTGCCTCAATTCCTTTGCCAGTGCCAATCCATAAGATGTAGGAGCAGAAGTAGGCCATTTAGCCCATCAAGTTTTCTGTGCCCTTCAGTGAGATAGTGATAATCCTCAACCCCTCTTTCCTTCCTGTCCCCAGAACCCTGGAATCCCTTACTGATTAAAAATCTGTCTATTTAAGCATTGAAAATACCTAATGAGCCAGCTTCAACAGCCCTCTGCGGTAAAGACTTCCACAGATTTGTTACCCTCTTAGAGAAAAAATTCCTCCTCATCTCTCTCTTAAATGTGTGACCGCTTATTCTGAGATTATGCCCTCTGGTACTATACTCTCCCACATTATGTAAGCCCTACCCTTGTTTATTGTACCAATTAATGGTTGGGCCTTGGGTAGTGTTGTAGAACAGAGGGACCTAGGGGTGTAAGTACATAATTCTTTGTAGTTTGCATCACATATGGACTGGATGGTTAAAAAGGCATTTGGCATCCTGGCCTTCATTGCTCAGTCCTTTGTTGAGTATAAGAGTTGGGTCGTCATGTTGAGGTTGTACAGGACATTGATGAGGCCTCTTCTGGAATGCTGTATCCAGTTCTGGTCGCCCAATTATAGGAAAGATATTATTAAGCTGGAGAGGGTTCAGAAGAGATTTACTAGGAATATTACCAGGTATGGAAGATTTGAGTTATAAGGAAAGACTGGATAGACTGAGACTTTTTTCATTGGAGCGTTGGAGGTTGAGAGGCAACCTGAAAGAAGTTTATAAAATAATGAGGGGTACAGATAGAGCTAATGGTAGTTGCATTTTCCCTAGGATGGGGGATTTCAAGACAGGGGGCACATAAGGTGAGAGGAGAGAGATCTAAAAAAGACGTGGGGGCAAATTTTTACACAGCGGGTGGGTCACGGGGTCATGAACTTCCTGACGAAGTGGTGGATGTGGGTAAGTACATGAATAGTAAAGGTTTGGAGGGATGTGGGCCAGAAGCAGGCAGGTGGGACCAGTTTAGTTTGGGAACATGATCAGCATGGACTGGTTGGACCGAAGGGCCTGTTTCCATGCTGTATGACTCCATGAGTTTAAGAGGAAATAACCTTTCCACATCTACCCTGTCAAGTACCTCAAGAAGTTCGTATGTTTTGAGAAGGTCACCTCTCATTCTTCTAAACTCTGATGAGTACAGGCCCACCCTACTCAACACCTTCTCATCGGTTGCCATCCTGAAAAGCCCTCTTTATCCCAGCTCTCTCTGTCTTCTATTATTCCACTGTCCGTGTTATACCAACACCGTGGGCTCTTAACCTTATGTGCGGTACCTTATCGGCTGCCTTTAGGAAATCCAGGTTTTATCTACTTGTCTCCCTTTGTCTTGTTACCTTCTCAAAAGAATTCTATCTTATGAAGTGGCCTAATGTGTGGTACCTTATCAAAAGCCTTCTGAAAATCTAAATATATTACCTTCACTGCTTCCACTTTATCTATCCTGCTAGTTACCTCCTCTAAGAATTCTATTAAATCTGGGGGGAGCCATGATTTCCTCTTCATAGCGCCACACTGACTCTGCTTGACCATGTTATGTGTTTCTAAACACTCTGCCACTGCATCTTTTACAAAGGACTCCAACATTTTCCCAATAACAGACGTTAAGCCAAGTGACCCATAGTTACTAGTTTTTGTCGTCTTCCCATTTAAAATAGCTACAATGTGGTTTTGCAATCCTCTGGGACCTCCTCAGATTGCTACCAGTGCATCCACTATCTCTGTAGATACTTCTTTGAATGTCCTAGAATGCATCCCATCAGGTCCAAGGGACTTGTTGGTCTTTAGTGATAGTTATTGTGTTTATTTCCTTATCTCCTTTTTCCCCATGATTACTTAGTAATTCTGGAATGCATTTAATGTGTTCTACTGTGAAGACTGATGCAAAGTATTTATTCAACTCCTCAGCCTGGTTCCCCATTATTATTTCCCCCACCCTTGTTCTCTAAGGGGCCTGTGTTCAGTTTGACTCCTCTCTTCCTTTATATATATTTAAAGAAGCTCTTGCTGATATTACTTGCAAGTTTACCCTCAGAGTTTATCTTATGTCTCTTCATTTTTTTTGGTTGACTTTTATTGTTTTTTAAAACTTTCCAAATCCTCTGGCTTACCATTAACCTTTGCTGTAGCATATGTTTTTACTTTCAATTTGATTCTGCCCTTAACTTCCCTGGTATTCTAATATCCAAACACTGGGAAATGTGTGGAAGTGAATATGATGGATACTGTGCCTTCTGAAATGTTCCTCTGTAAGTGTGAGGTGATGCACTTTGGAAGAAGAAACATGATGAGGGAGTATTTAATGAATGGCAAGACACTGGGTAGCTTAGTGGAACAAAGGGATCTTGGGGTAATTATTCACATATCCCTGAAATGGACAGAGCACATGAATAGGATAGATAAGAAGGCATGTGGATCAGTTGTGGCATAGAGTATAAGAGCAAGGAGGTAATGTTGGAGTTGTACAGAGTGTTGGTCAGGCCCAGCTGGAGTACTGTGTGCTGTTCTGGTCACCTCACTACAGGGAGGATGTGATAGCACAGGAGTGGGTACAGAGGAGGTTCAGCAGGATGTTGCCTGGGATGGAGAAATTGAGCTGTAAGGAGAGACTAGATAGGCTTGGATTGTTTTCTTTAGAGCAGTGAAAACTGAGGGGGTGGGGGGCAACATGACTGAGGTATGTACAATTATGAGGGGTATGGACAGGATGAATAGAGAGCAGCTGTTCCCCTTGACTGAGGGGTCAGTCACAAAGGGGCGTAGTTTAGGGTAAGAGGCAGAAGATTCAGAGGGGAATTGGGCAAAAATGTTTTTACTCAGTGGATGGTGGGAATCTGGAATGCACTGCCTGGGAAGGTAGTGGAGGCTGGAAACTTTACAACCTTCAAAAAATATTTTGGATGAGCACTTCAAATATCATAGCATTCAAGAATATGGGACAAATAAAGAATGTGAGATTAGCAAGCCTTTAGCAGTAGTTATGTTGGCGCAGGCTCCATGGGGCAAAGGGCCCTTTCTACGCTGTACGATTTTCTGAATCTTTGTTGCTGTGCCTGTATTTAGTATGTGCCTCACTGCAGTGAAAGGCTGTTTCCAAGCTGGCATTGCACTCTCTGGGCACTGGCTGGACTCTAAGTGACTTTCCTTCATGCATGAGGCTTGTTCAAGGAATATGCAGAGGAGTCTGCAACTTGAGGCGTGGTTACCACAGATCCTGTGCTGATCTAAAGTTCACCCAGTGGACTTTCCAGTTGACGTCAGTCATCATTAGTGATCTGCTCAACGTATGTTGTGGGACTGAGGGCCAGATTTATATCAGAGTCCCTAGACTCGGAAGGGAAATTTAAACCAATAGCAGTCATATGTGCTTCTGATCACTCTGTGCTATGTAAATGTTAGCTCAGTAAAGGCTCTACTGTAACTATCCCCCACCCTATGTTTGCTACCCCGCAGTGTTCCTTGAACAAGTTCATGCATGAAGGATAGCAGCCTGGAGCCCTGCCAGTACCCATAGAGAGTGATCCTAGCTTGAGAACACTCCTTTTAGAAGCAGTAGGTTCAAGTAGAAAACTAGGAATGAAACTCTTGACCTCTCTTTGACATTAATGCTGAACTGCTAAATAGATTTCAAGGGCTTCAGCTGCTGTTTTGTCTTTTTAAGGGTTTAAGCTACAGGGAGAGGCTGAATAGACTGGGGCAATTTTCCTGGGAACATTGGAGGCTGAGGGGTGACCTTACAGAAGTTCATAAAATCGTGAGGGGCATGGATAGGATGAATAGCCAATGTCTTTTTCCCAGGGTAGGGGAGTCCAAAACTAGAGGGCATAGGTTTAAGATGAGAGGGGAAAGATTTAAAAGGGACCTGAGGGGTAACATTTTCACGCGGAGGTGCGTCTATGACATGAACTGCCAAAAGAAGCAGTGGAGGCTGGTACGATTACAACATTTAAAAGGCATCTGGATGGGTACATGAATAGGTTGAGTTTAGAGGGATATGGGCCAAATGCTGGAAAATGGGACTAGATTAATTTAGGATATCTGGTCGGCATGGATAAGTTGGACCAAAGCGTCTGTTTCCACACTGTATACCTCTATGACTCTGAGTGAATGTTGAACTGCAGAGGGTTAATGGGGCTCTCACACTTCCAGGTGAGCGTATCGGTGGATTTACAGTAATCTGCAGCGATCCCGATGAAGCAAAGAGGGTGGAGTCGCAGCTGAAGATCCTGATCCGGCCCATGTATTCGAACCCACCGATAAATGGAGCCCGTATTGCCGCCACCATCATGAACACACCAGAGCTCCGAAAAGAATGGTGAGTCTGACTCAAAGACCATGAGCGTCTTCCGGGTTTGCCTGCAGCAGCTGCTTTATACGAAGAAACCACCACCTCTCCTTTTCTTAAAAAGAAATCCTGAGATGGAGCAATGGTTCAGCTGATTAAAAGCAAAGATCTGATTGCCCTTCAGCTATGGCTTAGTGGGTAGAGCCCTGGACCATTGAGTCTGAACCCAAATCAGACCTCACTGTGTGCTATGCAGAGAGTGCTGCACTGTTAAGAGGGCGTTCTATCAGGCTGCAAGTTTTAAATTACCAGCAGTGATGACACTAACTCGGGATGAATAATCACAGGAGATTGCACAAACCAGGATTGTATCCCCACAATTTTGAAAATGGAGGTGTGGCTTGAACCAAGCTCAAAGGGTAGGGCAGGGAGACTAGCTTCACTGTTTGGGGAATGTAGTACCAAGGGACGTAGCTTGTAAGCTAGAGCCAGACCTTTCAGGAGTGAAATTCAGAGAAACCTCCACATGCAAAAAAGTTGCTTCCACAGATGACAATTGACGCTAGACCCGTGTTATTTTTAAATCTGTAAGTGATAGGTTATTTTGTTGGCCAAAGTTTTGAAAGGATATAGGGCAAAAGTGGATATAGGTGTAGATCTGCCATGACTTGAATGAACAATGGAGGAGGCATGGGGCCTTAAATGGGAGTGTAAAACAAAAAGTGCCAGACATAGGAGCAGCAACATTTGTGGGGAGAGAAACAGAGTTGATGTTTAAGGCCGTTCAAACTTGTCCCTATGAGGAATGAAGGTGAGGCCACATCAACCACTGGAGTCATCCCATTACACTGTATCACTGAGGAATTCTTTGCTGGCCAGTATTTATCCCTCAGCCAGTATCACAAAAGCAGATTATCTGGTTGTTGTGTCATTACCCTCTGTGGGATCTTACTGTGCATAGAAATGTCAGAATTATAGTAGCTAAGCCATGTCAAAGTGATGGAATTGAATTTGGTCACTTGAGCTGCATTAGGGTGGGCTGTCTTTGGGGGCTGTGCCATTGGCTGGATTTGGAGGGAACTCTGCTGTGATCCCTGCCTCTCATGCTCAGGCCTACTCATACTTCCTATCATATGTCACCCTGGAGAAGGGTTGACAGATGACGTACTGAAGCCAAATGCTTCCCACCATTCTGTTCTTGAGTGAAGCGTTGGCCGTGTCAGACATCCTCTGTATTTCACATCAGGTGTAGCCCAGGCTTTTGCCGGAAGAGCGCTTTAAAATGGAACTAACTGGGTCACTCTTACAAAAGAGATGTCGTCTGCTTTGGGCAATTCTCTCCCAGGGTGCTGCCAACAACGTAACGAGACCAGGAGCTTGTTCTCAGTCCCCAGCTTGACCTATTTAAAAATCGTAACTAATAAATCTACTGAGGTGTTTTACAAATTCTGCACTCTTAAACTTAGAGAAATTCTCTGACCCTGTTCTGCTGGATTTCTCCGCAGTTGACAGGTGATGAGGATTTAGTAAGAGGACAAAGTTTTGATAATTTTCCAGTGTGGTTGGCAGTGACTGCCAGGACGTGGTGCTTTGCTGCTTCAAGGAATTTTTCACAACCTTCAACTGGGCTTCTATTCAGCTGGGTAGACTTGCTCCCCTGTGTTGCTGCAATATTTCATTCATGTGACCGAGCACCATTCCTTGCAAACTCACCAGCAATTCAACTAACCTACTTTCCTGCTACCCAACGCTGCTGTTAAATATGCATGCCTATATTTTGAATTTATACTGCATGCAGCTAATAAGCTCCTAAGACATAAGAGGAAAGGTAGGCCATTCATCCAACGGGCCTTCTCCATCATTTAGTGAGGTCATGACTGATCTGATAATCCTCAACTCCACTTCCCTGTCTTTTCCCCCCAACCCCTTGATTCCCTAAATTATTAAAAATCTGCCTGTCTTAACTTTGAATATTCTTAATGAATGACCTAGCCTCAACAGCCTCCTGTGGTAAAGAATTCCACAGATTCATTGCCCTCTGACAGAGGAAATTCCTCCTCATTTCCACCTTAAGTGTGCAACCCCTTATTCTGAGATGATGCCCCCTGGTCCTAGAATCTCCCACAAGGGAAAACCACTTCTCTTCATTATCCTGTCAAGCCCCCTAAGAAATTTGAGCGTTTCAATAAGGTCACCTGTCATTCTTCTAAACTCCAGTGAGCACAGGACCAACCTACTCAACCTTTCCTCAAAAGAAAGTCCCTCTCTATCCAGTATCAACTTAGTGAACCTTCTCTGAACTGCCTTCAACTGCAGTCTATCTGACCTTAGTTAAGTGGTCCAAACTGTTCACAGTATTCCAGCTGCATTCTGACTTGTACCTTATATAGTTTTAGTAACACTTCCTTACTTTCGTACTCCATTCCATTTGAAATAAACTGTTCCATTTGCCTTCCCTATTACTTGTTGAACTTGGGTGCTAATGTCCGTGATTCATGGATGAAGACTCCCAAACTTCACTGTGCTGCAGCTTTCTGCAGTCTTTCTCCATTTAGATAATATCAAGCTCGTTTGCTGTTCCTGCCAAAGTGTATGATGTCACATTCATAGAATCCACAGTGTGGAAGCAGGCCATTCGACCCATTGAATCCACATCAACCCTCCGAAGAGCGTCCCACCCAAACACATCTTCCTACCCTATCCCTGTAACCCTGCATTTCCCATGGCTAACCCACCTAGCCTGCACATCCCTGGGCACGAAAGGCAATTTAGCATGGCCAATGCACCTATCTTTGGACATTGTAGCAGGAACTGAGATTGGACTAAAGTCTAGACGGTTTGGATTCTTCCCTTCAATCTGAAACAATACAAAAGCAGGTCAAATGACTTCTGTTTTTGGCCAACTGGTCATAAGAGGCCACACATATACTGAGTCTGTGTAGTCAATGTCCATAACACACGACTATCCTTCATTTGGTATGGATTGAAGTTTCAAACTAAGAGAAGGTGTTGAGAGAATATTGTGGGAGCTTCACACCAAATCTAGTCTTTAGCTGGAAGTGCCTGACTCTCAACAAACGATGCCTGAAGCGGAAAGCGTTTCATTCTCCAGAACTGGCATCCGTTGTCTTGATGAGCACATTTTAAAACCAATCATCTAATGTCTCTCCTGTAGCAGAAGGGAGCCTGGTATAGAGAATGATCTGCCCTTTGTCTTTCCTCCTGCGCAGGCTGGAAGAGGTGAAGGAGATGGCAAACCGCATCATCAGTATGAGAGAGCAGCTGGTGTCATACTTGAAGAAGGAAGGCTCGATCCGCAACTGGCAGCACGTCACCGACCAGATCGGAATGTTCTGCTTCTCGGGGCTCAAGCCAGAGCAGGTAATTCAAATTTAGCTCTTGGGTCAGAGGAACGATCTTTAACCAACTCAGTAGGTTAACTGTAGAGTTGATCACACATTGCCTTGGGGCTGTGGAACAGTGGTGGCAGAGAGAAGGGGAACATTCACAACAGGGGATACAGCATGGGGCCATTCCCCCAACCACAGACATGGGGGGAGTGGTCAATTAGACAAGGGAGCTGGAGATTATACCAAATTGAGGGGAAATAGTGACCATCTCCTTTTAACTGTGGTCGGGACAATTAACAGTGTAAATGGAGCTTAGTGCAAACATTCTTAGGACCGAGATCTGGAGTAGTGGCATCACCCCAGCTCAGCGTAAAATTATTCATGTGTGTGCTATTGTTCAGTTACATATTGTGATCAAGAGATTCTCCCTATCTACTTCAGAACTCCCAGAAAAGCATCAGGAGATAGAGAGATCAGAATTCTAGTTATTGCAATCTGTGGAATATCAGAAGGGCTTTACTTCTGCTCTTGGGTTACAATTAACATTTATTGTTCCAAGATAAATTTTATAATCACATGCAATGTGCTTGGCCAATTCAGTAGGCTGAGTACGTGCATAGACAACAATACTGTAACCCCTAACAACTTATCTGTGTCTTACACTTCCTGTCTGCAGATCTCATCTTGAGTATTACCATTTTGAGGCACATATTCGTCGTTATTTAATATTGTAAAAGCATATGTAAATATTTAGCATTCAAATCCTTACTCTTTGTGGATGTTCCACTGTCAGGTTCTTGAATCAATCAAATCCCTTGATGCTTTCTGAAACAAAAGTCAGCTGCCACTTTATTTCTCAGTGAGATTTAAGTACTCAAAATATGCTTTAAGATAACACTTTAAAGTTCTACGGTGATGTTTGCAATTACTTTATCATTTACCTATTGTGTAAATTGCCTCTTGTGTCTTTGGACTTAAAACTTGGCCTTAAACTGGCTGCTTATACTGATGTATCTAGATAGAGGTGACACCAGACTCTGAGCGTGGGTTGACTGCTTGGACTGAGTGGATTCATTGCAGAAATTCCAGACATATTCTGTGCATCAACTTGACTTGATGTGTATTGTACCATTTCTGAAAGACGTTCAAAGCTTCAATTCAGGAAGACAGAAACACTAATGTAAATTTATTAATGACTGCAATGAGGGCTGTATAAACAGTGCCTGTGAACATTCAGTTGATGCTTACAGAATTTAATTACTGCAACATGAGTTTCTTTCCAGGTAACCCATCTCCTTGCTTTCCTGTCATCAGTATTTCCTACAATTTAACGTAGAACCTAGGTTCGGCCATTTGGCCCATCAAGGACACACCGACCCTCTGAAGAGTATCCCACCCAAACCCACCCCCTACCCTTTCCCTGAAACCCTACATTTCTACATCCCTAGACACTATGGGCAATTTAGCATGGCCAATCCACCTTAACCTGCACATCTTTGGACTGAGGGAGGAAACCTGCGATAGGGTTAGGGCTAGGGGAGAACGTACAGACTCCACACAGACAGCCGCCTGAGGGTGGAATCAAACTCGAGTCCCTGGCGCCGTGAGGCTGTAGTGCTAACCACTAAGCCGCCGTGCCGCCCAAACACCTGCAATGTGAGAGTAGGGATATGTGAATGTGAAAGGGGACTGTAGATTATCCAGGAACAAGGCTGACAAGTGGGAATGCTGTCAGAATGTGCTGCCTAACAGGCAAAGTGGACAAGAGGCAATTACGTTCATTTTTCTGAGGTCTCCTACTCCCAACTAAGCTGCAAGACTCAATAAATCCTCCCACTCTTTACCCAGTCTTCCTCAATCCTCTGCAAGTCAATCCTATTGGACTACAGTCCTTTACCTGTGAACGACAACAAACCCTACCCCACCACTACCCACTCCTCCTGCCATAACTCCTCACTTCTGGAATACTTTTCAATGCTTATAAACAGCAAAGCCATTTTCCCAGTCCTTAATCCTAGCACCAGTTCCCTTTCTAGTTTTTGCAGATTGCAGGATTACACTGTCTGCAGAATTTGCCTCAAACTCAACACAAATGGCACTGGATGCTAGGTCAGTTGTTAATCTTAAATCTTAGATACATGTTTCGTTAAGCAAAGGGCTATTGCCCAAAGGCAGGTATATGCAGTTAGGCCACAGATCAGCCAAGATCTCGTTGAATGGCGATACTGATTCAAGGGGCTGAATGGCCTCGTTCTGTTCCTATGTTCACTTCTTGAATTTAGAAGGCTGAGAGGTGAATTTCATCAAGATAATTAAAGGTTTTTTCCATGATTAAAAGTTTCAGTGTATGATGTTTGCACTGTGCAGTCTATTAGTTGTAAGGTGGCATAAGGAAAGTTTGAGTGACTGTCACTATGGGGAAACCCTTAAATTGTGATGATGCTGCCACTTCAAAAAATATCAGGACAAAAATAACCTTTTAGAGAGGTTTTAAGGCAGAAGTGCCAAACTGGTTACTTGAAGATGACTTAAGTAACCAACGTGAAGAAGGGTCCCGACCGGAAACATCAGTTTTCCTGCGCTTCTGATGCTGCCTGACCTGCTATGTTCCTCCAGCTCCACACGGTGTTTATAAATCATAGAATCCCCACATGGTGGTACAGGCCCTTCGGCCTAACAAGTCCACATCGACCCTCAGAGCATCCCACCAAGACCCATCCCCCTGCAACCCACCTAATCTAAACGTCCCTGGACACTACAGGCAATTTAGCATGTCCAGTTCACCTAGCCTGCACATCTTTGGACTGTGGGAGGAAAGCCATGCAGACACTGGGAGAATGTGTAAACTCCACACAGACAGTCACCCGAGGCTGGAATCGAACCTGGGTCCCTGGTGCTGTGAGGCAACAGTGCTAACTGCTGAGCCACCATGCCACCCCAAATTTATCTCTGACTGCAGCATCTGCAGTTCTTACTATCTCTGTGTGAGCCTTTGGGGTGTTTTTTTTTGAAAGTTGGAACAATGGAAGCATCTTGGGTGAGGCAAGCTCTCACAGATCAGGCTTTCTACTTAGTTTGTTCATGAGAAGCTGTTTGGGGTCTCAAACGAGTTGGAAGCTTCAATAAATGTCTCTTGGCAGCTACACTCTCTGAATTTTCTCCTGATGTTTCTTCCTCCTGAATTGGAGAACTGCCTAAAAGAATCTGCATCTGAATTTACCTTTTGCCAAGGGGTGTGTTTATGGGATGTTACTACATGGAATAGTTGATTGGTAATGGGCACTGTATCTATTATTCTGTTAAGTTTTCCAATAGTTAAGTTATTCTGAATTCCTCCTCCTTTTGTTTCTATTTTAACTATCATGTTTAAGTAAATTGTTTTGCTTAACGTTGAGTAGTTTAACCAGTTGCATTGCATCTGGAACATGGCACTTCACATCTGTCTTTAATATAAGAAAAGGTTAGGGTCTAGGCTACCTTCTTAAAATATTTTGAGGGAGTCTGGTCTGGTCCGTAACAAAATGCTGGCACTATCTGGTATACTTAATGCTTTGAACCAGGACTGTATTCATTTGGAGAAATGTACTTGAAATCCTATGTTTATTTTCTACTACTCAGTGGAGTGGGCTCTAATGGAGTTTATTCTATTCTTCATGACAGGTGGAGCGCCTAACAAAAGAATTCTCCGTTTACATGACCAAGGATGGTCGAATCTCTATGGCTGGGGTCAGCTCTGGCAACGTGGAGTACCTTGCACATGCCATCCACCAAGTCTCCAAATAAAACACCAGAGAAAGGGGAAGACCCGAGGGCAAGAACCTCAGCTTTCAACCACAGCCAGAACCAGGAGTATTCTGTTCAAAGTTTAGCAGTCAGATACTGTTACTATCTGCTGGATGTTCATTATAGAAAGGTCCAGTGTGAGGCTGGGAGGAAACACAGCCTTTCAGCACCTTGTGGAGTTTATTGGAGAATATAGAGCTGGCCCATTGAGATATTAACTCTTTTGGTGACTGCAGCTCTATATTCCCAATGGATCCACTAAAGATGAGAGTTTTCGGGTCTGCTTTGTAAATTAGCTGTGGCTGAGATGCAGTATCTGCTGCCTACTCTTCCTCAAAGACTCTGGCTTGTACAGCTGACATGATTAAAATTTCCCTTTGCAACTGGTCTACACCAAGCCCCTGTGCAAACTCCCCTTTTCTAATCTTGCCTGATTTGTTTTCCCCACAGCCCTCAGAATGAATCAGTCACCCATCTGTTTGCATTTGACCCATACTGATACTGTTGGTTATGCCCATGTTTCACATGTTGCAAGCTTCGTCGCCAGCAGCAGTCAGTACTGCTATCCTGCAGCTTTCTTATTCCATAATGCTTTTATCAATGTCACGTCAGTCACCCTCCCATGTTAAGTAGATGCAAGGGTCTTAGCTTTGAGGCTGGTCGTTTGGCTTCACATTTGTTCTTGAATTGTTATCGGTCAGTGGTTGGTCAGAAAGGAGCATTTAAGTCGTCATGAGGACTGACCTGGAAATTGTGCGATCATGCTCAGTGAAGGCTGTAGTCTGGAACTGCAACAGACTCGTATCACGGCAGAACTGGTTTAGTAGTGTGTGGTCCACTGATTGTAGTTAGCGGGTTTGGGTGGGATTGGTTGGGTTAAGTGTTGCGTTCACGGTTGCCTGTTTCAAAAAATGAAAATGTTTGACCCCAATGCTTGCCAAAAGGCAGCGCAGTACTTGAAGGTCCAGCCAGAAGGTACACGGCTGTGGTGGTAAGCTCGGATTTGCTGCAAATTGTTAAATTCTGTTTCAAATCTAGGCTCTTACAAACCTGTACTTGTGACTCAATAAAATGGTTCCTTTAATGATCAGTACCCATTAAGTTCTCTCCCTGCATTCTTTTCTATGCCGTTGTAACTCCTGCTGCTGATGGTTTAAATGTTGTGAATAGTAATGAAGGTTGAAGTCAGGGTGTTACACACCTGAACTACAACCAACAGAACAGAACAGGACAACAAAACGTCAGGAGTAAGAGCTGGAGATGACCACCCATGGCTGATTTTGGCTACAACTCCATTTGTTCCCAACATCCCTTGATTCCCAGAGCGACAAAAAGACTGACTCCCTTGTTCTTAATAAGAGGATGCTTAGAGCAGACGCTCTAAAGTGCACACGACTAATTTTCAGTCAGAGACTCCCCAGCTCATTGAAGTCACTTCTGCAAGTCTGCAGGGATTGTTAGGGCTTATTAGATTGAGCAGCCCATTGAGGTGGGTGGAAATCAAATTGCAACATCATTTGAGCACTGAACTATCATGTGCCTTTGGACAGTGAACGTCAGAAGGTTATTCAACCCTAGGAGCATCACAGCAGAGCCATCCGATGTTCACACTTTACTGCAAAATTACATTGAAATTATAAAAGCATCTGTGAATGCTGGAAATCTGGAGTATCCAACAAGTGCTGGAGAAACTCAACAGGGTCTGGCAGCATCTGTGCAGAGTAACAGTTAATGTTTCGAGTCCAATATGAGTTTTCTTCAGACTTAGGGTTAGACTTGAAACAGTAACTCTGTTTTTCTCTCCACAGATGCAGCAAGTTTCTCCAGCACTTTATTTTTCTGGTGAAATGAAGAACCCCACCTGGTGTGGTGAGACTTGAGCTCATGCCTCCAGGTTGCTAAGATACAGATTACTCCAGGATTTTTGGAATACAAGACCACTATGCTACTGTTTGCAGGAAGTGGTGCTGAATACAAACTGTTTATCTGAACAATTTCTTTGGACAAGAGTCCTCTCCCATCCCACAGACCCTTTCACACGCCTCCAACACTCTCCCTCCACCTGGATCCCTCCCTCTGGCCTTGTTTATTGAGGACCGTCAACATGACATCGGTCACATTAATTTTTCTGCCCTCCTCACCCATTCAAACCTGTCTCCCTCTGAGTGCACTGCACTCCGTTATTTCAGGTCCGACCCTGACTCTATCATCAAGCCTGCCGACCAGGATGGTGCTGCTGTTTTCTGGCGGACTGACCCCGACACTGTGGAGGCTAAGCACCAGCTTTCAGACACCTCCTATCATCCCTCCGAGACAACGACCCCAACATCAGTCATCAGGCTATTGTGTCCACAAAGGTCACTCATCTCATCCAGTGACCTCTCTCGCCCACCCTGCAAACAGCCTCCAACCTCATACTCCCCCAACCATGCACAGCTCGCTTCTACCTTCTTCCCAAAATCCACAAACAGGACTGGCCAGCCAGACCCGTTGTTTCTGACTGCTCCTGCCCCACAGAACTTGCCTCTTTCTACCTTGACTCCTTTTTTATTTCCTGTCCAGTCTCTTCCCACTTACATCCGCGGTTCTTCTAACGCTTTGCTCCAGTTTCAGAGTTTCCACTTTGTGGGTTCCAGCGCCTGCACTTCACCATGGACGTGCAGTCCCATTACATGTCCCCCATCAGGATGGTCTCAGGGCTTCCTGCTTCTTCTTGGGGAGAAAGAAAAGGCCTGGAACCGTCCCCAGCTGTCACCAGCTTCCTTTGCCTGACCAAGCTTGTCCTCACGCTGAACCACTTCTCCTTTAACACCTCCCACGTAACCTTGACTATACATATTCACGTCCTGCTTCCTGTAAAAACCCTATTCCATTCTTTCAGTTTCTCTGTCTTTGTTCCATCTGTTCCACTTTCTTCTGGTGAGGATTCCCCACAAGCAGGGAATTTTCCATGCTTTTACCTTCACCTGCCCCCTCACAGGATCCCCCAGTCCTCACTTTCCACTCCACATCCAAAAGATTATAAGTTGTCATTCCTGCCACCTCTAGACTCATGTTCCGTCTGTCAGCATCTATCAGGCACCATTCTGTCCAGGACACCCTGGTCCACTCCTCCTCCCCTCCCAGCACCTCTCCATAGCACCTTCCTAGCAATTGCAGATGGTGTAGCTCCTACCCATTCACCTCCTCCCTCCTTCCTGGACACACTTTCCAGGTGAAGCAGTGATTTACTCAGTCTGGTCTACTGTATTCACTGCTCACCATGTGGTCTCGTCTACATTGTTACATTGATGAAATGCAGACTGAGCCACCACTTTGTGGAACGCCTACATTCTATTTGTGAAAATATCCCTGAGCTTCCAGTTGCCTGTCACTTGCAAAACACCACTGTGTTCCCTGTCCAATATCTGTCTCATGCCTGCTCCAGCGAAGGTCAGTGCAAGCTGGAAGAACTGTATCTTATTTTCCACTTGGGGACCCAGCAGCCTTGAGGGCTCAATATTGATTTCAATCATTTTAGAACCTGAACAACGTCCTCAATGTCCGTTACCCATCCCCACATCCCTGACCCTGTCATCACATGGGCTGCTTTCACAGGGTCATACAGCACAGAAACAGACCCTTGGATCCAACCAGTCCATATTCGTCACAATTCCAAACTAAACTAGTCCCACCTGCCTGCACTTGGCCCATATCTCTCCAAACATTTCTTATGCAAGTACTTATCCAAATGTCTTTTAAATGTTGTAACTGTACCCCTATCCACCACTTCTTCTGGAAGTTCATTTCACACACGAACCACTCTGTGTTTAAAAAAAAAAATTGCCCTTCGTGTCCTTTTTAAATGTTTCTCCCCCCACCTTAAAGATATACCCTCCATTTTTGAACACCCCACCCCTATGGAGAAGACCTTTGCTGTTCACCTTATCTCTACCCCTAATGATTTTATAAACCTCTATAAGGTCACTCCTCAACCTCCTATGTTCCATGAAAAAAATCCCAGCCTATCCAGCCTCTCCTTATAACTCAAACTCTCCATTTCTGGCAACATCCTGGTAAATCTCTTCTGAACCCTGTCCAGCTTAATAACAGCTTTCTTTTTAGCACAACCAACCATTTCCACTTACTTATGGTCCTCATTATCAGCTTTTCTTTGTCCTGAGCATACTATTATCCATCTCTTTGTCATCCTCTCTTATAGGCTCCAACTCCACCTATCATCTCACTCCTTTTCCCCTCCCCGTCTTCATAAATGCCAACTTTTTTCCTGGCTACTGTCAGTTTTGAAGAAACAAAGTGTTGAATTTGCTTTCTGTCCACAGATGCTGCCAGACCTGCTGACTTTCTCCAGCAATTTCCATTTTTGTTTCAGATTTCCAGCTTCCACAGTTCTTCGTTTTATTTCAGTAAAACATTTTTATTTTGTCCCAGTGTTTGTGGTGAGATGTGTTTAGGAGTGAGACTGTTCAGTCATTTGTTAATCATAGAATCCCTACAATGTGGGGGCAGGCTATTCGGCCCATCAAGTTCACATTGACCCTCCAAAGAACATCCCACCCAGACACACGCTCTACCCTATAACGCTGCATTTCCCCTGGCTAACCCACCCAACCTGCACATCCCTGGACTCAGTGGCCAATTTAGCATGGCCAATCCACCTACCCTGCACATCTTTGGACTGTGGGAGGAAACCAGAGCACCCAAAGGAATCCCATGCAGACATGGGGAGAACGTGCAAACTCCACACAGACAGGCACCCGAGAGTTGAATCGAACCTGGGTTCCTGGTGCTGTGAAGCAGCAGTGCTAACCCCTGATCCACTGTGCCACCCATGTCATGAAAAGATGTGTGGGCAATCCTGGACAAATGCTGGCTTCCAGGAAATATGACAGTATCCTGACAATTTTGTGTCCCATAAAATCAGAGTACAGAAGTGGCCCTTTGGCCCATCAGAGCTGTACCATAAAGCTGCACAAGCCTTGAATGTTAAGACAGTTTCTCCAGGGACATATTGAGACAAGTCGGGAGCCCCTTTCATGCTGCATAGTCGAAGAGCATTTTGTAAGTCAGGTGTACGAAATCCCCCAGCTCAACAAAGCATGTGTTCAGTCAGGAGTCAATGATCAGAGATACTGACGGGCTGGTTAACTGAAATGATTTCCACTATGAGTGCAGTTTCACTGATGCTTTCCAACTTTATGAAAGCAATGTCACAATCCTTGGGCTTTGCTTCCCTTGATCTGAATCCCTCAGCCCTTTGCTGCAGCTTAAGCAGCACCACTTTGGGTGATTCTAATAGGAACAAGAGGAGCAGCCACACCAGGAACAGCTACTGCCTGTTCCCACATGACATAGCAAGGGGGATGGACATGCAGCTCCAGCTCAAAGGAGATGATGCTCTACAGAAAACGGGATGCAATCGTTCAATCTCTCATGAGGGTAAGAAAGCTAGCATAAAGGCACTTTACTTGAATGCTCATAGCATTCGTAACAAGGTTGATGAGTTAATGGCACAAATCATCGTGAATGAATATGATTTGGTGGCCATTACGGAGACATGGTTACAGGATGGTCACGACTGGGAGTTAAATATCCAAGGGTACCAGACTATTCGGAAGGACAGACAGGAAGGTGAGGGAGGTGGTGTAGCTCTGATATTCAAGGACGACATGAGGGCGGTGCTGAGAGATGATATAGGTTCTATTGAGAATGAGGTTGAATCCATTTGGGTGGAAATTAGAAATTCTAAGAGGAAAAAGTCACTGATAGGCGTAGTCTATAGGCCACCAAATAATAACATCACATTGGGGCGGGCAATAAACAAAGAAATAACTAATGCCTGTAAAACTGGTACGGCAATTATCATGGGGGATTTTAACCTACACGTAGATTGGTCGAACCAGCTCGGTCAGGGTAGCCTTGAGGAGGAGTTCATTGAATGTATCCATGATAGTTTTCTTGAACAGTATGTAATGGAACCGACGAAGGAGCAAATTATCCTAGATCTGGTCCTGTGCAATGAGACAGGAATAATTAATGACCTCATAGTTAGGGATCCTCTTGGAAGGAGTGATCACAGCATGGTTGAATTTA